TCCCCCTTTCAAACATAGCTCATTAAAGGCTCCCCATTTACATTTACCCCTGGCACCCCAAATTTACCTACTACTCCCTCCATAACACTTTTACCCACTTTAGCATTGAAATCCCCAACCACCATTACTTCACACTTGATTCAAAACTCCCCACGCATTTACTCAACAAATCCCAAAATCTCTCTCACTCCTCTACATTTCTCTCTTCTCCAGTGCATACACGCTTATTATAACCCACCTTTTCACATCCAATCTTATTTTACTCCACATAATCCTTGAATTAATACATTTATAGTCCCTCTTTCCTGCCATAGCTATCCTTCAACATATATATATATATATATAATATATATATATATATATATATATATATAATATATATATATATATATATATATAATATATATATATATATAATGCCGAATAGGTAAAATTGGTCAGTTAGCAAGAACTCGTTTAAAATTAAGTCCTTCCCAGAAATTTTCTCTATACGTTTAAAGATGTATCCTTTTCATTTATGTTAATGTAAAAAATTACCTAACCTTATTATAACAAGCACAATTTAATTTAGCCTAATGCAAGTAAATATAATTTAATAGGTTTACAATAATTTAATAATAAAACACAGTGAAATATATTTTTTTTCGTTAGGTTCAGAACGATTTTTTGCGAAATTATTGCATACACAAATTTCGCTTGCCTTATTCGCAAGAAGAGCGTTGCTATTAAGCCAAAATAGTAAGTTTTACCTATTCGGCACGACATACAAACATAATAAACATGTATGTATAATATATATAATATATATATATATATAAAATAATATATATAATATATATATATATATATATATAATATATATAATATATAATTTTATATATATTATATAATATAATTATATAATGAAATGAACCTGCAAATCTTTAAATAATGGAAACTAATAAGGCGAGACAGACAAGGATGCAGTGTACACTCTCGGACCTGGGAACTCTCATGCCTTCATTAATCCCTGGGATCAGTATCTGATTTCACCTGGTCGTCTTGTATGTAACACCACATAAAGTGCTGTTAAGAAGCGTATATAAAAACAGTTTCACCCCCTCTCCCCCATGACAAGGTATTTCATATATCCTGACACTTTCTTGATTGTGTTGTGTTTTATGATGAGTTCACGTAGCTGGAAAATGGGAAGACTATTTACTTGTTGGCATGGTTTGTGATATTGTTAGGTAAAAGGACCTATGTGCGACTAATGTGGCAGTGTATGCGGCAGTATTTCGCCCTCCAGGAGCTCTGTCAAGGCCTAAGCTCTCCAAGGAGAGCGAAACTTTTCCGCAATAAAATGTCGTATTAGTTGTGCACGTGTCCTTTTACCAAACACATTGTCGGTAATTCTACGATATTATTACAATCTGCAGCAGTAACAGAAACTTTACCTGTGAAGATTAAAACTGCTTTTGGGGGGGGGGGAATATTTATGGCGTGTTGAATATCTTTGTAGATAAATTGTTCAGAGAGCCGACAAGTTGATAAATTAGACACACAATGGCATCATCAGTCCAGTACAAAGAAGAGTGGTGAAGATCAGGAGTTTGAGGTAGTCGGTCCCTCAGCCTGGAGTCGATGTACTCAGTCCTTTAATCTTAAAAAGAATACAGCATATATGTGAAGAACTGGCTTATGTAATGCGAACAGGCGAGGTTAAGCAGTCGCAGGCGGTGTCGCCTTGGACAAATCCACAGGTAGAAGTAGGTCATGCCTATAGGTTAGGCAAGTGTAGAATGTCTTGTGGCTTTCCCTCTGCAGTATCAGATATTTTAATCTATTGTGTCGCCTTGGACAAATCCACAGGTAGAAGTAGGTCATGCCTATAGGTTAGGCAAGTGTAGAATGTCTTGTGGCTTTCCCTCTGCAGTCATATATGTAGTTACGTGAATGGTATACAATACCGACAAGATGAAAATTAGACACACATGCAACATCTGGGCATCTTTAATGTAGACGTTTCACCATCTAGTGGCTTTATCAATACAGATTCTAGGACATAATTTGAAGACAGTAGAACTCCATACAAAAGATGAGGTAATTAGTCCTTCAGCCCTGAAATTGGTTTGAAGAGCTTCGGTCCTCACTAAAGTTCTCTTTACTGACGCTACTAGGGACTTTGTTCCACTCGTCAACAACTCTATTGCCTAACTATATAGTTTCCAAATCCAAATTTGTCCTTGGGAATAAAGACACTGGTAGCAGAGGATCATAATACAATATTTCGAAGGCTGGACTTCACCACATAAGAGATAAGATTTCGTTCGGATTTTTAACCCCGGAGGGTTAGCCACCCAGGATAACCCAAGAAAGTCAGTGCGTCATCGAGGACTGTCTAACTTATTTCCATTGGGGTCCTTAATCTTGTCCCCCAGGATGCGACCCACACCAGTCGACTAACACCCAGGTACCTATTTGCTGCTAGGTGAACAGGACAATAGGTGTAAGGAAACGTGTCGGAATTTCCACCCGCCGGGAATCGAACCCGGGCCCTCCGTGTGTGAAGCGGGAGCTTTAGCCACCAGACCACCGGGTATGAGCAGATACATCGCCTTGTAAGGCAAACGATACCCGTCTGTAGTGCTGAAAATGGCATAAAATACCGACAAGATGATTAAGACATATGCAGCAGTTGGGTATATAGTTGTATATAGTTCTGTCTTCAAATTATGTCCTAGAATTGTATTGATAAAGCCACTGGATGGCGAAACGTCTACATTAAAGATACCCAGATGTTGCATATTTGTCTAAATTTTTCACAGTTTGGTATCTTCATTGTTGAAAAGTTTCGCCTACACAGTAAGTATCTGTTGTTGCACATGCCTTGATCAACCCGTCTGTAGTGACTGTTGAAGAGACTGGCTAATTGTTTGCTAGGTTCCTCTTCACATTTTCCTTGAAATCTTTAAAACAGTTCATAAAGATCTGGTGATTGGTTTTAATCTTATTTTTTTTTTCGTCTGAGAACCATGGCACTCATGATTTTGATCGTGCATAGCTTATTTTCGTCCTGGTCAATATAAAATATATTGATTTCTGGAATTTTGCTCTAGCATCTTCCTGCGTTCAAGAAAATCAGGAAATAAGTATTGAAGTGTGTACATATTTTTTTGTCACAGTACGCTGATATAAGTAACTTTTAAAGGAACCTTTCTTTTCCCTTATTTTACTCCTATATCTGAAATAAACCTTTTTGGGTTGGATTTTGATTCCCTTGCGCCTTTAATTTTAGTCTAGGTCTTTATTTATCTTTATTTCTCTCTTTAAATGAATATATTGCCATTAAGGTTGCCTTGATGCTGAAGTACTCGGAGCCAAGAAATCAGTACTTTCCCTTCCATTCAACAGTAAACGCCAGTATGACCCCAGCAGCCTCGTTTAGTCTTCTATTAAACAGGCGACAACATTTTTTTGGCGTGTGCCTTTGTGTTGGAGGATCAACATTCTTGCCAGTGACACAGAAATCCCACCTACGTGTGCCAACTGCATCAGCACAAGTCAAAAAACAGTTCATCTTTGTTTTAAGATTCTTTCATCCTAGTCACTGGTTTCTCCCTAGACAAGCCTAGTCCAGCAGGGTCGGGCTGCGGGAGTAAGAGGCAAACACTCGAAGATATATCAAATGTAAGATAATATCTATATATTATCTTACAATATATCTCTATATTATCTCCAAGAGCCCGGCCATGAGCCAGGATCGCATGTGTTATTTTTCCACCGTGTCGATATTTTATACTATTTATCTCTAAATAAGACACATGTCCACTATTCACACACCGCCACTTGTCTTAATACACCAGCACTGCCTGTCTTAATACACCAGCACTGTCTTAATACACCAGCACTGCCTGTCTTAATACACCAGCACTGCCTGTCTTAATACACCAGCACTGCCTCTCTTCATGCACCACACCGCCTGTCTTCATACACCAGCACCGCCTGTCTTCATACACCAGCACCGCCTGTCTTCATACACCAGCACCGCCTGTCTTCATACACCAGCACCACCTGTCTTCATACACCAGCACCGCCTGTCTTCATACACCAGCACCACCTGTCTTCATACACCAGCACCACCTGTCTTCATACACCAGCACCACCTGTCTTCATACACCAGCACCACCTGTCTACATACACCAGCACCACCTGTCTACATACACCAGCACCACCTGTCTGTCTTCATACACCAGCACCACCTGTCTTAATACACCAGCACCGCCTGTCTTCATACACCACACCACCTGTCTTCATACACCAGCACCACCTGTCTTCATACACCAGCACCACCTGTCTTCATACACCAGCACCACCTGTCTTCATACACCAGCACCACCTGTCTACATACACCAGCACCACCTGTCTTCATACACCAGCACCACCTGTCTTCATACACCAGCACCACCTGTCTTCAAACACCAGCACCACCTGTCTTCAAACACCAGCACCACCTGTCTT